AGACTAGTGAGGACCAAATCCAGGAGCTGATCGAAAACACAAAAAGGGTTTTAAACAATGTTAAAGTCTGAAAGAAGAGTAAAGGAAAAAAGACGGCTTCTCAAGGAGAAGAAGTAAAACCTCCAGCGACCGGAAGTGATAAGGGCACATCAAGTGGAGTGCCATTCAAATCAGCCTGATTCTTCATGCTTACGTCGAGCTAAACGATTTAAAACAAAAGCGCTTAATGGGAGGCAACCCATTTAGGTACTCTTTCTTTTAGTTTTCTTTTCCTTTTTACAATTTATGTTTTCTTTTAAGTTTCAGGTATTTTATAAAACAAAAACACAAAAAAAAAAATATCAGAAAATTAGAAAAACCGAGAAAAAAAGGAGAGGTTTTTAGCTGCTCGGCCTGGCAGAAAACCTGAAAGTTGGACGAAGGCCGCAGAAAAAAGGGTCGCGGTCGCGATCAACCGACCCGTGGCCAAGGCATCATCGACCGCGGCACCGTGAATGTGACCGCGGTCGAGCCTATAACCACCGCGGTCGCGCGTCTCCTGACCGCGGCCGTTGGTCGTTGAGACAGGAACTCGGATTTCCGCCGCTTTTCAAAAGTTACCTGGTGTTTCCCGGTGTTACCTGGTGTTATCTGGTGTTTCTCGGTATTTTCCGGTGTTACCTGGTGTTTCCTGGTGTTTCCTCAGTGTTACCTGGTCTTTTCCGGTGTTACTTGGTGTTTCCCGGTGTTTCCCGGTGATTCCTAGTGATTCTCGGTGATTCTCGGAGCATTCCCGGTAAAGCCCGTTAAGATTTTCTATAAGTTTTAATTCCCAAGACAAGACAGGTAAGTTCCCGTAAACTTTTGAATTCCCGTAAATTTCCCGTTTTCGCTACAAAAATGCTTTTTAAAGAAAGAAAATGCACTTTTTGGATCAAAACTCCTTTTTCTCTTCTCTTCCAAAAGACTTGGAGATTTAGGAGATAGAACATCTTTTTTAATTCTTAAGCTTTTTAAGAGATTTTTGGCCCAAACCTCACTCTTTTTCAAAGCTGATTTCAAATCTATCATCAAATCTCTCTTTCGAGCAAGGTATGAAGTTCAAACTCGCCATTTTTAATTGATTTTAGAATTTAAGGTTTTCTTAAAAATCCCAAATCTTGGTTTATTAATGGTGGAAATAGCTTCAGGACAATAGATTATCCTTCTAGGTTATCTGAAAATCGATTTTAACACCTAGCTTAAGAGGAATTGAGATTTTTGAAATTTGGATTCCATATCCTTTATAAAAATTGAATTTGGAACAGAAAAATTGATGAATTTGATTAAGTCTTGTGTGATTAGTGATTAGCATTAGGTAACCTATAGAATTGACATGGAAATTGCTCATTAAAACCGATTTTTAGAAGATTTCTATGTTGAGAACATCAAAAATCCGAATCTAGTCATGAACTACTCGATTTCTTCAATTCAATGTCAATTATGCGTGCTTGTGGTTTTGACTAATCTCTTGATACTTAAATTAGTATAACTGATCGTTAATGTGTTAAAATCAGCATCCATATTCACTCTTTTTCCAAGAATCATCTCGTCTTGCAGAAAAATGGAACAAACCAGATCCAGAAGAAGCCGTCGCACTGGTGACAGCTCTGAGGACATTCCCGATGATGTTACTCTTGGAGAGTATATGCTGAACCAAGCCAGACCGAGAAGAAGAAACTATGTGATGAGACTGCTCCAGCACTCAAGAGAAACACGAGCAACTCCCGAGCCACCACAGATCCGATACATTGGCAAAGAGATAAACCCGAGAGTGGACTATGCAAGACGTTTCAAGAAGCTGAACATCAAACCTACGCCCTGCATTGATTATCATACACTTGAGATGCTTGGAATCAGAGAAGATGTAATCTGGTACATCGATGCACTTAAGCTGAGACCCTACATGGAGCTGAACCTTCCAACTTATCCTGAGCTGTTCCTTGAGTTCTTAGCAACTATTACACTCCACCACACGAAGAGGAGGAACCCCAGAGCATCTGATGGCATTTTGTCATTCTCTATCCGCAGACAGACTTACTCGCTCACCATTTCTGCACTTTGTGAGGCTCTTAAGCTTCCATACACTGATGGCATTCACCTTGAAGAAGAACCCGATTTTAACTTGTGGAGAGAGATGAGTCATGGCGTCTATGATAGCGGGAGATCCAAGTCAGCCCTTTTTACTCATCCTGCAGTGAGAGTTGTGCACAAACTCTTAGCACACACGATTTTCTCTAGAGCGAACATGGGATGTGTTTTGAAGACCGAGCTCCTTACACTTCAGATGCCATTTATGGACGACCAATGACTTGCCTGCTTTGCCTGGATCATAGCACAGAACATGGTGAAGGTGAAGCATGATTTACATGGTTGCGAGGACGCCACTCCAGCTTACGGGAGCGCTATTACAGCGATACTAGAGGCTGGAGGATTCGACTTCTCATCTGATGATCCACTTCTCGATGTCTGGTATGACCTACTTTATCTCTCTCGCGATCATACTATCTCTCGTGCCGCTTTCGATCCAGACAGGTTTGGTTACACATATTGCACTGGAACCGAGGAGCACCAAGTTTGCTTACCTTCAGCATCAATCCCGAGATTGTGTAACGGAGGACGTCCGCGATGGACTCCGGAACCCGATGAGTTTCTGCCAACTGTGCCTCATCTACCATTCACCATCGGCCAATACATAGTGGCCAAGGCAAAACGCGATGCAGCTGCGGCCCATGCTCACTTTCAGCCATCTGTTTCGACCGGCCACACTTCATCATCGACACCGTCACACACACATTCTGATCTTGAGCGCAGAGTTGAGAGACAAGGACGATGCTTTGAGCACGTTGTCACTTTCCTACAGGAGCAGCACCAGTTCAAAGCAGACACATCGGGGGATGAGGGATTGATCAGCACTTCACTGCCATGACGGTTCTATCATCATTTTCTTTTCTTTTATCTTATTTTATTTTTTGCTTTTATTAACCATCTTCTCACCAACTTTTTCACACTGGGGACAGTGTGATTTAAGTCTGGGGGAGGATGTCTATCCGTACTAATCATTTTCTTGTTTCTGCTTTTAAAATTTCAAGTACTTTTTAAATTTCAATATGTAACCTATTCGACCTTAAGTATTTTTCAAGAATGTTTGACACAAAACTATGATGATTTAGACCTGCACTCTTCTACACTATGCATGATTGCTCTTTTGTTGCTAGCACTAGACTAGGCGATAGCTAGAGTACTTGCACTACGAACTCCCACCAGAGGACTTCTATTCATGAAGATTATTTCTGACAGGATATACTAGCTCATTTTATTTGACCTTAATATTGATATCTAATTTTCTCATCATTGATCTTAGGCAGGCATCAAGATATACATCTAGGACGTCTTTCACCCTCATTTTTACCACTCTTTGTCGTCCTAGATGACCAGTTCATCTTTATCTGGTACCATACCCTAAACCCAAAACCCTTGTTTTCAATCGTCATGCATTTCTCTCTTTAGTTTATATCAGCAGATATGTGCAAAAACGTCGGAGAGAAGAGGAGCGACGCAGTTTTCAGTCACTCACAAGGAAGACTGAATGGAGTTGGGAAGGAAGAGTATCAGAAAATCTTATTAAGCTTTTCAAGACTGATTTTGATTGGTAATTTCGTGCTCTCTATGACTCTATATCTAAAGGTGTTCCCTATTTCAAAAAAAAAAAAGAATAAAAAGAGAGGGAAACGAAAAAGCCTAATGAGTCTTAGATTGTCGAAATTTTTGGAGCAAGAAGCAACCACATTTCGTTTAAAGAGCTATGGTTTGGAAAGATTTTCAAAAATCTAAGTCTGGGAGAGTTAGGAGAGAACCTGAGGAAGAAGACCAGGAATCTATGGCAAGAAGAAAGTGACTCAAAACTGTAGATACCAACAGCTTCACTCTCTCTTGTGGTTTTGCATAATATTTTGCATCCTCCAGATCTTCAGGTAACCCGAAAACCCCTTAAGCCCTACCCCTAGAATAACCCTTTTTACACCTAGCCTAGATTACCTTGCCTAGACTTTCTTTCATGAGAACCACCGAGATTTCTAATGAATGTTAAGAGCTAGTTGACTGGAAGTTAGATCTTAGTGCGTAGATTTCCGCATGACGGATTAACGGGCTAGTTATGCCCGTATTGCTAGTGAGAATTTTCTAGGCTATTCCCGATTGATGCATACTGATTGATATTGGTCTAGAAGTTTGGACTCTGAGATTTTGTTTAGTTCCTGCGTTTTCAAACCTCTCACCGAGATTTGGCCTTTGTTTTGTTTGAGGACAAACAAAAGACTAAGTCTGGGGGGAGTTGATAACACCGGATTTTGACCATTTTTATGGATCACTTTAATGTCTTTTACAGGTGTTTTTACTCCATTTTCAAAGGATTTCTATGTTTTCAGATTTTAAAAGACTTTTCAGGTAATTTGGGATAAACAGACACAAATTGGAACAAAAATACTCTTTTGGATAAATACAGACCGTCAGAACTCTCATGGAGAGACGAAGACCTTCTCACCGTCTGATCACCCTCAAAATTGGACAACTTATAGAAGAATCAACCAGCTTTCAAATGCACTTAGTTTGAAGACATTCCAACGGTTGGATCTCAAGATATTCCATCGGCCCAGGAGCCACTCGAAGACGGCCAGCAAGTCACACGACCACGGCCACCAGCCCATTCCCCACGGTCACAAGCTTCCCGACCACGGCTGATGTGATCCTGGAAAGGATCTGCCCTTGATCGCCACTCTAGAACTGGAAATAAAGGGATAGGCCTTGCAAGCAACAGATTGCTTCAAGGGATGTGGAAATGAGGGGTCACACAAAGGCTGCGGAAGACCTTTGATATACCAAATGATCCTTTGGATATTACACACCAAAGAGATCAAAATCCTTGCTGGATATGACACACCAACAAAGCCTTATGAAGAGAATCACTCTCAACACAAGAGAAGAGAAAACAAAATAGTTTATTGATAAAAATGATAGATGATTTCGTCCAAGAACTTACAAGTGCTTAAATAGAACACAAGAGATGTGGTAAACAAGTCCAATCTCGAAAATAAACAAGACATTAAAAGAACATCTCGAAAATCAAACAAAGACTGAGATAAATGATGATTTTGAATGACCCTTGGACTGAATCCATGCCCCTTGAACTACTCTGGTCGAAATTGGTGTTGGGCCTAACTCTTTCACTTCATTTTTGGGCTTGTAATTCAACCATAATTCACTTCTACTTCTTTGCAAAGGGCTTGGTCGAATTTTGTCTTCTTGGACTTGTATAGATGTGATCCAAAACAGATTTGATCCAACAAAGTAGGCTTGTGTAAAAGTGATCACCATTGCTTCCTTAAAAATCTTCCTTTGGAAAACCCATTGGGACAAAACCAAAGGTAAGGAAAAAAGAGTACAACTGGGACACTTAGCCATTTGTTGATCTTCTTGAGCCTGAATCAAAACCATAGAGGTTTCTAATTCATCTTCTCCAACCTGGCTCAAGAACTCAGTTCATCCCCAAATGTGTATAAGATTTGCTCCGAGTTCTTCCTTGAATTGCTTGGTTTTAGACTGAATCATGGGTCTAACTGGTACAAACTCAGCTACAAGCTCTGGTTCAAGCTTCATCTCCTTAGTGCTAGCCATGATCACATCATCCCCCTCCACTTGAAAAGGATTTGTCTTCAAATCTGGTTCATCTGCAACGAAAAATATTAAGTTAGAAAAGCTGAAAGTGAAACTCAGAATATACTTACCTTGCAAGCTTTTCGTATAAGCTTTGAATTTGATCGGCTCAAATATTTGAAATGCATGATTGCTTCTTGGAATCAGCTTGATCTTTGTTTGTGTTAGAAGACGTCCATTCCTTATTTGAATCCACAAACTTCCTCCAGGCTCAAAGATCATTCTGCATTGCCTCCTGTTTGCTCCATTTTGATATTGATCAGTTCCCAGATGTTTCCATGGTTCGAAAACAAATCGAACAGTAAACTTCTTTAGCCACAAGTAAAACCACCACGTTTTGGATCCATGTTTCTTCTTGTCACCAACCTGTTTAACCTGTGAAGGTACAACAAAGACTCCAAACACAAGATCATACGTGCAAGAGACATACTTCTCTGATTTAGCAAATAGTTTCTCTTTTAGAGCATCAAAAACAAGTCCTGCATATTCATCAAAGAATTCACCATAGTCCAGCATGTAGACAGTATTAAAACTCTAAATGAATGAATTCAGAACTTGCAAACCCTCTTTATTTTCAAGAGGAAAAATGCAGTGATTTATCTTAGAGAGTCTATCAAATACTAACACATAATTTTTCAACAAACAGTGATGCTCACACGGTTTAGCTTTATCAAACATAAAACTTTTAGTTCCAAAGAACTTTCCATATGCAGACATCTCACAAGATTGAAACACAACATTTAAATCACCAGATTCGTAAAACTCATTGGTGTGCTCAAAATCTAGCAGCTTAACTTCAGGAACAGCTAGAATTTCATACCTTTGACTCATTGCATTGGTCACAACGAGTTCCTTACCTTTTAGGCTCTGTATGACATAAAGAGTGGTCTCTCTGGGTGCTCCTGGTTTAAAAACACATTGGTGTTCAAGTCCAAAGATTTGTGGTAATCCTCCAGGGTTGTTGTCTTCAAATTCCTGCAAAATAGAAGTTATATTACTCGGCAGCACCGGTACAGGGTTAGTTAAACTCTTAAGAGTTTCTTTATAAACAAATCTAGGCACCGGTCATTTTGAAGACAAAGTTCTCTTGTCCTCACCATTCCTTACAAGGGCGTTTGAATAACTAACAGGTTTGTTCTCACAGGTTATTTCCTTGCAAACCTCTTTATTTTGTTTCTGCTCCTTGACCTTGATGAGATCATCTTTTTGTCTTTGCTCTTCTCTAGAATCTGAACCTGCATCAATTTCTTTTGGCAAAGACAAGTGTATGATACTAGAATTAAAATTCTCAGAAATTGATTGAGATGGACCAACACTTATCTTAGCTAACTCTGGACTTTGTTCCAATGATGTCAGTTTCGGCGCTCCTTGACTTTTGGGTGGTCTGTCTTCAACTCCTTGGATTTGGGATGGAGCAAATGGAATTCTGGCTCGACCAGAATCTTTCTCATGTGTGATTAGTCCTCCCTCTGCTGATCTGGTGCTCATAACCTTCGCTTTACCAATTACAAGTTCTCCACCGGTTTTGAAAACATGGTCTTGTATTCTAGAGCGATTGATTTGAAGCTTTGGGACATATCTTTTTCTCATGATAGCTTTCAATTCTTCCCATGCCTCCACTGGTTTCTCTCCATTGCGTCTCCTTGAGATCTTCAACTGCTCCCACCAACTCAGGGCATAATCATAGAAACTAGCAACTGCAACTCGCACCTTATTGTTCCCTGAATAATGCTGATAACTGAAAACGAGTTCTTGCTTCTTCTCCCACTCCAGATAGGTGTCTGGATCATTTTTCCCATGGAATGAAATAATTTCACCATTAAGTTGACCGCTGCCTTCTCGTGCACGTCTAGATCTCCTCTGGCCTTCTTGAAACAAGTTATGATCACGATGGTCATAACCTTCTGCCCCTTTGTATCTAAGCTGTCTCGGTTTGTCTCTGTCTTTCTTAGGAGCTCCTTCATGTGCCCTCCTTTGTTTCATTTCTTTGACGAAGCTCTTCTAATTTAGCGTCCATCATCTCCTTCATCTGGGCTGTCAAGACTTCTAGCAACAGTTTGTTGTCGCAGGTGTTGCCGGTCTCTTCTTCTGGCTAAGACATCTTAACCTGAAACCACAAAGAAAACAAGTCACCAGTAACAAGTTCCTCACAATCAAAAAGAGAATAGTCTAGACACAGAAGACGAAAAGACACAATCTGATCCTTAGAAAAAAACTTAGAAACTTTCAGATTTTTCTACAGAGAAGATGAACAGACACAAATGAACAAGGGTGAGATTCTATGACGATCCAGTGATAACAGAATTAGATGATGATGCAAATGAACAGATCTAAACGAATCTAACCAAAACAGACACAAACAAAGATTCAAAAACGTTTTTTGTTTTTGTGGTTTTCTTTACTGGGTTTAGATAAAAATCGAAAATAAGAACAGCAAAACTTTTTCTGGGTTTTCTCTGATAGATATAGACACGAAATAGACAAGATAAACAGATAAAAATGAACTGAAATGAAAAGGATAGATATAACCTGATGAAAAACGAAATCCAGTGAGTAGAGTGTTTGCTCTGATACCACTTGATGTGATCCTGGAAAGGATCTGCCCTTGATCGCCACTCTAGAACTGGAAATAAAGGGATAGGCCTTGCAAGCAACAGATTGCTTCAAGGGATGTGGAAATGAGGGGTCACACAAAGGCTGCGGAAGACCTTTGATATACCAAATGATCCTTTGGATATTACACACCAAAGAGATCAAAATCCTTGCTGGATATGACACACCAACAAAGCCTTATGAAGAAAATCACTCTGAACACAAGAGAAGAGAAAACAAAATAGTTTATTGATAAAAATGATAGATGATTTCGTCCAAGGACTTACAAGTGCTTAAATAGAACACAAGAGATGTGGTAAACAAGTCCAATCTCGAAAATAAACATGACATTAAAAGAACATCTCGAAAATCAAACAAAGACTGAGATAAATGATGATTTTGAATGACCCTTGGACTGAATCCATGCCCCTTGGACTACTCTGGTCGAAATTGGTGTTGGGCCTAACTCTTTCATTTCATTTTTGGGCTTGTAATTCAACCATAATTCACTTCTACTTCTTTGCAAAGGGCTTGGTCGAATTTTGTCTTCTTGGACTTGTATAGATGTGATTCAAAACAGATTTGATCCAGCAAAGTAGGCTTGTGTAAAAGTGATCATCATTGCCTCCTTAAAAACCTTCCTTTGGAAAACCCATTAGGACAAAATCAAAGGTAAGGAAAAAAGTGTACAACTGGGACACTTAGCCATTTGTTGATCTTCTTGAGTCTGAATCAAAACCATAGAGGTTTCTAATTCATCTTCTCCAACCTGGCTCAAGAACTCAGTTCGTCCCCAAATGTGTATAAGCTTTGCTCCGAGTTCTTCCTTGAATTGCTTGGTTTTAGACTGAATCATGGGTCTCACTGATACAAGCTCAGCTACAAGCTCTGGTTCAAGCTTCATCTCCTAAGTGCTAGCCATGATAACATCAGCGGCCAACCACCTATTTCCCGCGGTCACGTCACTCCCGACCGCGGCCAGCCAACTCTGAATTAAAGCCCATATTTCTGAAGCTCAAAGTCATTTCTCAGCCTCAATTCTGGAACCCTAGAGGCCATGGAGTATTGAAGACTATAAATACTTGTCATTTAGGTCATTTTTAGACACAACCTTCATACTTAACAGAAACCCTTTTCCTTTAGCCATTTTTATGCGATTTTTGTAGAAGATTGTTCAAGTCTGAGTTCTTCAATAGAGAAGCTTTCTTTCATCTCTTTTTTTTACTGTTTTTGATTACTTTTATTAAAACCAATGATGATGTCGACCTCAGCTATGTCTGAGTAGATCCCGAGTTGGCCTTAGGGTTCCCAAAGGGGCTCTCATAATCGATTAAGACATCTAGGTTTATAGATCTGGGATTTTAACTTTGTTCTCTGTTTATTCTTGTTCTTATTGCATGTATGCTTGATTGATCACCTAGTATCTGATCTAGATAGTTAGTGTTGTGAAAGTTTTCATTAAGTATCAGACCTAGAATGAAACATGCGATTTTTTTGTAAGAGTGGAAACCTACCTGCGGCGAGATCGTGAGTATTGACGAGTCTTGTGCAGCTCTTGCGTTCTCTCTCCCTTCCAGGGCCAGAGTGGAAACCTACTCATTTGGGTTGCGGGAAACAGTTGGTTATGATCACGACAGTGACGTAGTCATACCGCCGTACTCTAGCTCTAGAACCCTATATTTTGATATCCGTCAATCCCAATCTATCATCCCTAGTGTTAAAACCGATTATGATCCCTGTAGATTCCCGAAAGCTCAGCGTTTTTAGCCATAGTTTACAAACCAATCAATTTTTACTTGCTTATTTAGATCTGCATTTCAATTGTTTAGGTTCGATATTTTGCTTGCTTTACTTGCTTTTCATTCGATTTTTCTACTTGTTTTCTAGGATATATTTATTTGCTTTCTTTTGTTTTAGTTTAATCTGTGACAAACAACCAACCTCTAATACCAATTTATTCTAGACATAAAGTTAGAAATCGTAGAAGAATACCAGGCACACAAATCTCTGTGGATTCGATCCCTAAATACTACAACTGATTAGCTGTGCACTTGCGGCTTTCATTTGTTTTGTTAAGGGTAAAACTTGTTCCCTCATGCAGTTGACACGCATCAAGGATCGGTGTGACCAGCTACTTGCTCATCGACTTCAGTGACAACGTTGTCATCATCAACATATTCATCAAACACAGGCTCATCTTTGGTCAACAAACCTTGACGCTGCAAAGAAGGGCACGCTGCTTGACGATGACCAGATTCACCACATTTAAAGCACTTGACATTGGTTGGACGCTGTGAACCCATGGTCATATTAACCTCTGTCCCATCTGTTAGTTTCAGCTGTTCCATTGACTTTGATAAATTCAGGTCGGGAGTGGAACTGAAAGGAGTGCGCTGAGAGTTCCACGAAGAAGCTTGGTTTCGCGAATCTTGCTTAATCAAGACCGCGCGTTGGTGAGCTTCCGACACTGTTAATGGATCAAATTGAAGTAATACGCTTTGAATTGGACCGCGTAAGCCACCAATAAAACACGAGACCCTTTGTTCTTCGTTTTCATGAAATACATTACGAGCCAAGAGAGAAAAAAATTCAGATGCATAGTCGTCAACAGAGCGGCTTCTTTGTCGCAGATTCCGGAGCTTCGTGTACATAGTACGAGTGTAATTATAAGGAAGAAAAGCTTTTCGCATCAACTTTGTCAATTTCGCCCAAGACGTAATGCGGTCTTTCTCTTCTCTAGCCCTTGACGCTTTTAATTGCTGCCACCAAGCAGAAGCACGCCCACGAAATCGTGTTACTACCAGAGGCACATGATCAGATCAGGTACTTCTTTAAACTCCAGTAATTCCTCGGTCGTATTAATCCAGTCAAGAAATTCTTCTGGTTGGATGCCACCACTGAATTCTGGTAAATCGAGCTTAAAACCAGCTTCCCATCGTCGATGATCACCTGGCGGTGCTACGATAACCTCGCGCTGGTGGTTAACACCACGCGGATTTACGTCACCGTGCTGACCAAATTGATTTGCAAAGACGTTAACATCTCTGTCTTCATCATCCTCAAAGATAGGTTCTTCACATCGAGGAACACGTTGTGCAGCGTTTTGCAGTTGAAGAGCCGTGAGAGCTGCTTCCATCGTAACCCGCAGAGATTCCAAAAGACTGTCGCTGAACTCGGCTAGAGTTTCGCGAAAAGCCTCGTTGTGTTCGTCCAATTGTTGTTGAAGATTCTTCTTTGGCGGCATGATTAGGATCTGTTTGTCTCTGATACCAACTGTTGCAGCGGATAAATATCAAAACAGAGTCTCGAGGATCTATGGATCAAGAGGATCTGTTTGATGCTCAAAATTCTTTGTTAGACAGGGAGAATTCGAAGACTTCAATTAGGAGAAGACTCTTTATTATTCGATAAAACAACTAACTATTATAGAAGGATTACAAAACCTTATATTGAGATGGTCTAAGCCGACCTTAAGCAAAACTAAAGCCCTAATCGATAAATAGAAGTTCAAAAAGGAAAAGGAAATAGTTTAAAACCCGAAAATAACCATTAAGTAGAAAACTTGTAAAACACGTAAAAGATAAGGTAGATGTCGCTACATCAGATTCTAACCTTCCCTGGTTCGGGGATCCAAGCTTTAAATGGCGTTATTTGTGTCTCTTCGAGCATTCGATCTATCTCGGGCGCAGCGCTGGTCGCATTGTGCACCTGCGATTTCATGGCTTGGATTTTGGTGACTCTTGATAACACCTGATTTTGACCATATTTATGGATCACTTTCAGTATCTTATGCAGGTGTATTCAATCATTTTTGAAGGTTTTATAAGTGTTTTCCATGTTTTGGAGTTTTGAAAGACTTTCAAGTTACTTAGGCAAAAACAATGCCAATTGGAGAAAAATCCACTTTTGGCCAATTTCAGACCGTCTGAAATTTCACATCCTATGAAGACCTTCTGACCGTCTGATGAAGCTCACAATTGGACACACGATAGAGGACACAACCATATTTCCAATGCAAGTAGAATCAAAGTAATCTAACGGTTGGATCATAAGTTATACCCAATTTGCTGAAGATATGTTCTGTAGTCTCGCAAAAGAAGCAAGAGGAAGAATAAAGTTTTGGCATCATAGACCAACCACCGCGGTCCAGGAGCTCGTGACCACGGTGAAAACCATCCTGGCCACGCCTCAGAGCCTCCATACATGGTGAACCATCATTCACAGGCGAGATTGGTTTCTGCGACAAGCCCATTTTCGGCCCAATAGCCTGTTTTCAAACCCAACTTATTCTCTCTGCAAAAGAAGCCCTAAGGACAACCAGAAACACTTGGGACCTATAAATATGTATTTTAGAATACTAAATTTCGTGTGTGCTCCTTTGCCCTTGATAGGGAGGCACCCAACTTTTGTTTCTTAGGTTTAGATCAAGGAGATAAAGATTCTTCTCTTTAACCTTTGCTGTTTCTTTTCATCTATCTATTCAGTTTATGCAATTTCTTTT